AAGAGTGGCACAGGAGGCACAGCTAAATGTGTCACTGATGTTCTTACCACATTTTGAAGTATTCGTTTTTCATATGATGAAAGAGCAAAATGTCATTAATGATGATGTTATACATGCATCGATCCTTCAATAGATCATTAGTAAGAATCAATCAAATTGTGTATGTAATTCAGCTTATCATATAATTACTTACTGTGACTTGTGTGACTTGCAGCTCTATGCACATACATGCTACGTCTGTGGACATATAAGTAAATGTACTAATGTCTACCGTCATCTGAAAATTTAGGATGTCAAAAGTAAAACTAGACAACTTGGTTATAACAGCTAAGTTGATAATGTAAATTGGCCTCAGTAATGAGGTTCTAAGCTGATATTAGTCCTTTGTCAGAGCACTCTGATGAAGGACTAATGTTCAAAGTTTCAGTTTAAGAAACTCTCTTAGATGGCTAATTTAAATTATCAACTCAGTTTATAAAACCAAATTATTTTGTAATACTAATACCCACCACTGAGGCAGCACAAAAGTTTCTTTAGAAATTAACCTCCTTTATTAAAAGTAAAACTATTTTGATAAATTTAAGTCAAGGAAAAAACTGCACCACAGCAAAGTCGTGCAAGGTGACTGCATAGTGAACAAGTCTGTATCACTTGCAAGTTGTTTGAACTTAAGAATGAGGAGTAAATGAAGAGCTGATAAGGTTCAGTGTCATCCAGTGCTAAGTTTTTTTTTTTTCCTTTTTCTCAGGTGTCAAGCTTCGTGGCAAAGATAAAGGAATGCCGTTAGTTTCTGGTGGCAAGGGGAAGAAATGATATCTAATGAAAAGTCAAATTAACCCTTTATGAACTCCTAAATAGGTTACATTCACATTTGGTTCAAGAAACTATTCTCATGAACCAGAGTAAAAGTTTCCATGTGTAGTTCAGTTAGAGAGTTCACATAAAGGGTTATATTGGTATCATTTCTCTCCTTGCCAGTGTTAAAAAAAAAAAGAAAAGAAAACAAACAGGATGTAATACTCAAAGACCATATGGTTGAAAATTTCTGTCAGCTTAAGATTGCTGTTAAAATTGTGTTGGGAAATCTCCCTTCTGCTGCCTTTTGTGCCTGAGGGCTCTTTATTAAAAGTGATTCACTAACTGTTTATAATGTTGTTGTTATTCTTATTGTGGTGCTCTGTTGGCCTAGAAGAGAAGCAAACAAACAATGGAAATTAGTTAGGCCTGTTTGGTAATCATTTCAAAAGTATGAAGTGAAGGAGCAAAAAGGGGCTGTAGCCCAGGAAAATTGAGGCCAGGAAGGGTTTGGGGATGGAGGAGGGAAGCGACAACTTGACACCTTAATGTGGATGGGAGCAAGCCCTCTTAAAATCATCTAACTGTGGTGTTTTTTGAGAAGGAACCGGATACAGTAGTCAGAAGTGTAGAGGCAGGATAGAACGGTATGGAAAGTAGTTGTGCCTAAATTGTAATGGCAAGAGGTGCAACAGAGGATTGCTGGGGACAAGTTTCTGAGTCAGGTGATTTTCGAAAATTGTCAGCTATTCCAACATGGCAGATTATTCCTGTAAATATAATTAACATAATTTGCAAGTTAGCTACAGTCGGCTGACATTATTGAAAAAGACAGTTTCATTTATGTCTCATGGTTTTAAGACTGTAAAGGGTAAATCAAAGTACAGTCATAATAATTCCCTTTTCATAGTGCTATCTTTTCAAAAGATCCTTGAATCAAAGTTCTCTTCTTGTCCCTCTGGGCAGTAGAATCTTGGAGGGTTTAAAGTGTCTGGTCTTGTCCCTCTGGGATGTAGAAAAGTATTCCATAAATCAAACTGTATGTATACATGACAATTGGCCAATTCACCTTATATAAAAGCTGATCAACCGGCTGACAGAATTGAGGTTTTTTTTCTCCTCCCCACCTTTTGCGAAACCTTGTGTAATGCCACATTTATCGTGTGGCCTGATAATCCGGGTGGGCGCCGTCCCGAGATGGACCGGTGTCGGGGTACGTAGTATCTTGCTGACGTCGGTTTTGAAAACTAGCTAGCAGAAGTCGCTTTTCTTTCCACCTTGGTCGTGAAAATGTTTCTTATTTTCTCTTTTCGTTGTCGTTACAATTGTTAACTTATTATTTGTTTGTTTTTCTCGTTCAGTTTTTGTTGCTGAATGAATCAACCAAGAGTGTTGGCCCGTTTATCTAGACTCATGAACGTTATCGGCCATGTCAGCTCCGAAAAAGCTAACTAAGGTGGATACAGGCTACGGAAAGCCTTTGGTAGAGAGAAACAAATAAAAAATGCTGAAGGTTTCTGAAAATCAATATACGAAAAATCACTTGCAAAACTCACTAACAAATTCTTTGTCGTTGATTTCTGAAGAACGATTGGAACAAGAACGCGGTAAGTGGATTTTAAAGATTGCACCTGTTTGTATCCTTCACTTAGCTTTTGTTGGCGAACAGTCTGACGAACGAGTTTTTTATTCTCTCCTTTTAAAAATCCCCTTATCATGTCAAACTAGGCCATTCGCCAACTGCTTTGACAGAAACCTCAAGACCAAAGCCGTCAAAAACTATCGCATTTAATGTCAAAGAGTAGACTTAAAAAACAAAAAAAAAATTTTTTTTTTTTAATTTTTTTTCACGCTTATTGGTGACAAAGTTAGACAGATTGATTTGTTTTATTTTTCCACCTACAGCCAAATTTTGTACACTCCATTATGAATGCCCAACGTATAATTGTTTGCATACATATTTTTTCGCCTTTTCTTGGAGGGTTCTATATCTAACAGCTAGTAGTGCAAGGTCTTTAATGAATAAATTCCCAACAGTCAAAATTTTTCACACAAGGTTTCATCAAACTTCTTGATAATGTCCAACGATTCCAAAAATATCTTATTTATCTAAGTTGACACAATGATTGAACTTGCTCAAAGTTCGCTTGTAAGCCTTCTACAATATTAAGAATGTCTCTCTTACAGTTTCGCTCAACAAAGCAAACTCTCTACCTTCAAACACCTTTGTTAAAGCAGGTGTATTACGCTAGGAAGACTTGACACTTACCCTTCAAATGCCCAGCCCCTCCCAGGAAAAGTTGAAGGACGGGGGGAAGTTAAAGCTTGGAATTGATCGGCGAATTAGTTTTCTGTCATGTATCGACTAGTTCACTAATTTGAGCCACAATTTTAGCGATAAATGCAATGTGCGGTCATTACGTCCTCTTATTGTATTTATTTTCTTTGAAATCTAGTAAGTGACCACTCATTACTCATCACTTGTGGAAGCAGGGAACGGCGGA